TAACTGAGCCAGCCTCCAGCTTCAAGGTTTGTTTACTTGCTTGTGTTGTTGTTGTTGTTGGGTTTTTTTTTGTTTTGTTTTATTTTGTTTGAGACAAGGTCTCACTCAGTGCTCAGAATGACCTTGAACTTGATATTCTGCCTCAGCCTCCTGAGTGCTAGGATTACAGGCATGTACACTAAATACGGCTAAGGTTGACTGGATACTGAAAGAAAGCAGTTATCTAACACCTAGGGAAACTGAAGCGCAACTTAGCAGTTTTTAACACTGGGAGGTTACAGAGAACCTATTAAAGCTGATGGGGTCCATGGACAGTTGCCTCTTGTGAAAAGATGAACGTGTGTAACTATGTCCCGACCCTGACTCACACTGCACTCTGGAAGGCCTGGGCTCCAGACTACCGGAGAAAGGGCTGGTGTAGACAGGGCAGGACTGACCTGGCTGTCTGTGTCCTTGCCAACCACGGGAAGGACATCTCCTAAGGACAAACACTGTGGAAAAATTCTGTGTCAAACAGTTGGGATGGGGGATGTGAACCCCGACAGGGAAGTGGCCGGGACACAACAGGTCTTTCTTCATCTCTGACTCCTTCCTCCATCATCGAGCTGGGAGCCAAGGTTAATGACAACTCTGATTACTTTCTTTGAGCCCGTCTGTTTGGGGAAGCTGACCTCGAACCGAGCCACCCAGCTGCTGCCTCTTTGCAGGCAGGATACGTGCAAATGCCTTGGAGGAGATCCAGACAGAAGGAAGTGCAATGGGGACACAGAAGGACAGCCTCATGGACGGAGGCTCTGTCACGTAGAGGGAGTGGGGGTGCAAACAAATTTTCTAGGCAAACGACTTAGCACATCTGAAAGTCCAGTGACCATCAGTGTGTCTTTCCAGCTCAGTTGGAGCCCTTTCCCACTCAGAGGAAGCCCCCCCGGCAGCCTTGTTTCCGTGGAGATGTGGCATGGCTGTGTTTGCTAACACATGGGGTGAGAGATTTTTTTTTCCTGAGGCTATATGCCTGATCCCAAATTCCGTGGGACAACCCTGAGCCTCCCGTTAGGTCTGCCAATGTGCACAGCTCAGAGGGAAAGATGACGGTCAGTCACATCTTCCCCTGCACACACCAGCTATCCTTCTCTTAAGGAGATGGAACCTTCGACCATGGCCTCAGTCCCAGGCCATAAGGACGTTTGGTGACCTCCACCTTTGCACTCCTGAGACCTCGCTGTGAAGGGGCAGCTAGGGGTGGCTACTGAACAAGGAAGGACCCTCCAGTGTAGTGTAATCCCACTGCCAGCTGCACATAGTGAGCAACCCAGCTCCCCCACACGACAGGAACCATCCAGCAGAGCCACGCCTGAATTCTTAACCCCTTCAAGTCTGTGCCAGCTAACCATGGAGAACAAATCACCTGTGCCCAGAAAGGGAATGTGTGCGAAGGAGACAGCTGGACAGGATTCTCTCCTGGTCATCTCTCTCTCTCTCCTCATATCCTGAACAGGGCTGAGCTGGGGAGAGGGTGGAGGGCACGTGAGCACTGAGATGCTGGGATGGAGCTGCAGGAGGGCAGCTCGGGACTCTGCACAGCCTGGGGCTCTCCTGGGTTCTTACTTCCAGCAAAATTGTCCCACAGAAGAAGAGTCAAAGCCTCCTGGGAGGCCTGATACCTTTCCCACCAGAAATCAGAGCCTGACACTACCAACACTTCCAGCAGAGGAAGCAGATTAACAAGGCAGGAAGGAGTCTGCCGGAGAGGCCACCTGCTAAGCTTGAACTCCTCAGTAGAAGTTTGGGCTGGCAAGGCGGCTCTGCAGGTAAAGGGGCTTGCCGCCAAGACCTGATGACCCCCAAGAATTGCTTCTGACCTCCATGCATGTACCATGGCATGCATATGTGCATGAAAAGCAATAAGATGGAACATATATGTTTAGAAGTTTAGGTCCACAGACAGAGAGAGGGAGTCTGCGGGCAGGTCCGGGGAAGAAAACATATAGCGTTAAGGACATCATTCTGGGGCCAACCAGAAGGGGAGTAAACCTAGCATGTCTATGACCTTTTCTCTCCCAGCCTCAGTTTCCCCATCTGTACAGTAGAACTGCTATAATACCCACTCCACAGGGTAAAGAGGAGCAGTGACTGTGCTGGGTCAAGTGAAGTTTTAAACCACAGGACTCAGGGCTGAGGGCTCAGTGGGTAGAGAGCTTGCCTGCAAAGCACCAAGCCCTAGGTACCACGGCCAGCACTGTAGAAACTGGGTATGGTGGTGCCCGTTTGTCACCCCAGAACTCAGGAAGTAGAGGCAAGATGATCAGAAATTCAAGGTCATCCTCAGCTACATAGTGAGCTCAAGGCTAGCTTGGGCCACATGAGAACCTGTCTCAAATAAATAAAGCAAAATGCAAAACTTGGTACATTGTAGTGTCCCTTGTGGGGATTTTTGTCCATGTTGATTCAAAGTGACCTCATACTGTCCCAGATGGCCTCACTAGGGTAACGGAAAAGAAAACTCAGCAACAGGACTCAGATGGGGACAGGAGCCCCTGAAATCCTAACCCAGTTAAAAAGATTCCCCTTCCTCAGAGGCACAGTCAACCATGAAGGGTGATGTCCTCACCACACACAATCACTGCAGCAGCTGAGTGAGCAGGAAGGCACCTGAGAGTCAACTGGGGAAATGGAGGCAGAACCTTTGCTCACTGAGAGCCTTAGGTTTCCCAGTGGTTGCCCCGGAGAGCAGAACCCCACCTCAGCCTCACTCCCACCCGGCTTTCATTTGATTCTCTTCCGGGAGGTGTAGGAGGGACCGGAATGAAGGCATGGTGTGGAGCTTAGAAGACACAAATAGCATCGGGCTTGCCTCTGGCGACGTTGCCAGAGAGGGCTGAGGGCTGCAATGGAGGAGACACGAATTGCCGGGCTTCCGGGGCTGCCCTCCCCACTCCGGGAAGCCAGGGAGAAAAATACACCAGCTCAGCTGAGGTACACCCTGCCAGCCCAGATTTGGCCCAGGATCCCTGGAAGCCTCTCAAGTCTCCTTCCGGGGAAGCCAGGGGATGCTGGGACTCCAGGGCTTGCCAAACTGGAACATCCCAACACAGGTGCAGACCAAAAGCGTCAGCAAGAACCAAAACAAAACAAAAAGCCTCTTGCTGTGAAAACCAAATCTGCCCTTGGATAGCTACCGTTTACTGAGTGTGTACTTCACCATCGTCCTTGGCACATTTATTCACCAAGGAGTGTCATCGCCATTTTGCACATGAGGAAACTGAGGCACAGGAGCAAAGAGACTAGCACAAGATCACAATGGAATCAGGATTTGAACCTAGGTCTCCTTGATCTGGGGAGCTCTCAACAATGACGCTCTGCCTCACAGCATCAAGTCAATGTCAGGCTACAGAAGGAAGACAGGGACTCACTGACCCTGTGCTAGAAGCGGGAAGGAGTGCCCTTAAAGCCGAGGACAAGGAAGGCATCGATAAAAGTGTGGCTGGGTCAGGTTCTCTGCAAGGTGCGAAGAATTGTTGGCGCTCAGCTTCTCCTTATGCAATAGCCCAGGATGCCAGCCTGTGGAATGGCATCACACACATCTGCAGGGCTGGAAGATAGCGCAGCGGTAACGAGCCTGCTGTGAGCCCCAACAGCCATGTAAGTCAGGCATGGCGATAAGTGCCAGCATGTGGAGGTGAGGGAAAGGGGGGTCCCTGGACCATTGACCACCCAGTTTAGCTGAATGGATACACTGTAGGTAGGAGTCCTTTTCAATGAAAGGTAGAATATGCTGAAAAAGACACCAGGAATCTGCATGCGCGCGCATGCAAACACACAAAAGCAGGACGCATTGGGACAGTAAGGGATTTCCTGAGGGCAAGTGGCAAGGTAGCTTCTCAGCTGCTTCCCAGTTCCCACAGAGACTGGAGTGTAAGGGACTGTTCTGTGGGTCCCTCTGGAGCCATGCCTAGAGTCTCCCCTTTCCTTAGTCACCCCGACCCTGATGAGCCCTGACATTTTCCCAGCCACTCAGCTCCCAGCTGCCCTTCAGCAAGCACTCTGTTCTCTTCTGTGTCTGCTTCCTGCAAGCCCCGCCTCCCTCCCCATCCACAAGTCATTAGCCCTGCTCGCTGAGACCCGCTTTGCCCTCTTTCCTCCCATCCATTACATACAGTCACAACTGGGGCACACCCATCACTCACTCTATCCTCTTTAGAATCCGGTGGTGTCATCATGCCCTTCCTCCCATCAGCAGATGGGGCTCAGGGAGATAAATCCGTGTGTTCCAGTTCCACCATGGACTCCGGGTTCTCCAAGCCCAGAGTGCGTGTGTCCACACTGGGTCCACCTCAGCTGCCTCCTCCACACAATGCCTGCCTGCCATATACTACCGGTTACACTGCCATATATTGCCAGTGTGGCTCTATAGCTCGCTCTGAAGTGTGTTCTTGTATGTTCTCTTTAACATGTTTATGGGATGCACAGCGGTGCTTTACTACATACATATGAGCTGTCATGATCGGGTGGGTGTCCTTGGTGTGTCCATCACTGGGAATACTCAGCACTGCTCTGCCAGCTGTCTTGAAATTCTCAGGTCACTGTCACCCATGGTCACTGGGCTGCACTGTAGGGTACCAGATACTTCTCCTGCCCCCTGCCCCATCTCTGAGCCTTTGCCTATAATGTCAAATGCAGTGTCTTCTGTTTGCCATCTCCACTAACTCCACCCTCGGGGGAGGCATTCAACGCTTCCAGAACTCTCTATGAAGCTCTCATCAGCTAAGACAGCCAGTGTTCACACCCACAGCACAGCCTCCCCATCAACCTCCCTCTACCCTGTCTCCAGACTTCGCTGCTTCCATGCACACTGACCCCGGACCTTTCTGTCCTCTCTCCCTCCTCCTCATCTTCTGGATTAGATTGCCATCTCATGCAACAAGGATTCTGACTCACAAGTGGTCAAGCGCTCCCAACCCAGTGTCATCATGCAGCCTGTAGGAAGGTGAAGGCAGCCTCACCCAATGCGCTCCTGTTCCATTGCCTCCATCTTCTCTGCCCGAGCAATCACCCTGTTGATGATCTCCTTCTCCTCGTCTGTCAGCTCTTCCTGGTTCCTCTGCCTGTCTGTCTTTGCTCCAGGATGGACGGACCATCCTGCCTGTAGCCTGTGAGGTCAAGGGAAAGATGTGAGGTAGGCTGGGGAAAGACTGAGGGGAAGGCATGAGATGGGTCAGGACAGAGACCCAGGAATCTGTAAAATCAGGGCTGAAGCTTCTGCAGGAAGCCTCACTGGCCTAGGGACCCTGGGCAGAATGGTGCCTCTGAGCCTCAGCTTGCCTGTCTGAACAATACAACATGCATCATTCCTTCATCCCACTCTGATGCATCTATTTTAGGAAGTGTTCCAGATCACATGCATGAAGAAAAGTTAGAAAGCAAGACATTTTCAGAAAGAGCCTAAACCAGAACACCCCCCCCCACACACACACACACACAGAACATACAGTGCAGAGAACAGAGTCAGGCCAGGTGGACCCCATGGATAGCCTGACCCAAAGATGTTTTGTTTGGATACATGTTTGTTTATTTATTTATAACATGATCTCATGGAGCCCAAACTGTCCTGGAGCTTCCTCTATAGCTGAGGATGACTTTGAACCCCCGTCCTCCTCCCTCTACCTTCCAAGCCTGGGGTTGCTGCTATGTGCTGTCATACCTGGTGGGGGGAACAGTCCTCTTTAAACTTAAACAAGTTGAATAAGATTGTAAACATATCTTTATAAGGACGAATAACCAAGTTTTCAACCATTAAAGGCTCTGTGCATTCTCACCTGCCCCAACCCTTTTGAGACTGGTTTTATGTAGCCAAGGTTGGCCTTGAACTAGCTATATATCAACTTTGAACTTCCAATTCTCCTGCCTCCATCTCCCAAGCTCTGGGATTATGGTATGCACTACTACCTGTAATTTGTGTGGCACTGGGGCTCAAACCCAGGGCTTTATCCATGCCGGACAAGCACTATTTCAGCTGAGCTATGCACCCAGCCTCTTTCTACCTCTTTTAAAAATCAAACACAGAGATAACTGACCATGTCCAAGCCAACGGCTTCGGTCCTCACAGCACCCTGCCCTGGTTCCCCTTTCCTGGTGTGCAGGAGGACCTGCTAGGAGCACTTCATTGTGTTCATGGAGAGCACTGCCTGTCCTCTCAAGTCTGTGCTCCACAATACAGAGCTGAGATACCCCACTCCCCTGATGGAAACACAGGTGTGGCCCAGAGCAGGTGCCTCAAGAGGACCCTAGAACAGCGTCTCACTAACAGGGAAGCCCAGAGCCAGGCAGCAGTAACAGTCACCCACATTGTGAACATGCCAGATGTTGCCCAGTTCAGCTCTTTAAGATGCTTGATGTTAATGTCTGTGGATTTTACCTCCATAATAAAAGCCCATTGCTCTTTCCCACTTTGGCAAGTCCCTTCAATCTGTTTTCCCTACCCCACTGCTGACCTCCCCCATCCTCCACTCTGCAACCACCGAGTCCCAGCCACACTGGCATCTTTGCTCAACTTAATCACCCAAATCTGGTTTCTGCCTCAGGACATTTGCCTTGGCCCACCCCTCCCTGTCATACCAGGAGCCCTTCCCTCCTCCAACAGCACACCAAGTTCAAATTCTCTCCCACATCCCTCTCCAGCTGAAGTCATCCTTAAAGGATGCTCTTGGTAGTTGTTAATTCCCACCCCCACCCCCCACTGAGCTTCAGGGACCTAATCACTATTGTGCCCTGGCACTCAGATCAATATCTGAGAACAGGGCACACAGTCACCTTGACTAGAACCCAGGCTCTTGTGAACAGAGGGCTGTTAAAGTCTTCCATTAGTGGTCCACAGGAAGGTGGAAGCAAGGTATACCCCTCTCCCTCAGTCTAGGCACAAAAGGGCGCTGTCCCTCATGGTGAAAGACTCCTAGGATCCTTGGAACACTGGGAGTTCAGAGTCCATGTTCACCTAGCCCCCTTTCAGGCTCTGGGGTGTGTCCTGGTATTGGTCAAATTCCTTAGGAATTTTTGCAAAAGTTGGACTTGTCTCCCACCTCTGGAGGAAGGACTCCTAAATTAAGAAAACTTCAGGCCCCTTTAGACTATGCCAAAACCTCCTAGGTGAGCTGGGGGAGTGAGGGAAGAGAAGCCAGCCTGAGGTCTCCTCCCCCTACTTGAGAGGGACACAATGGCGCCTGACCTTTCCCACAGAGCCCTGTCAGGTCCCAGGCCTGTGGTTCACTGTGGGGATGATGGTCTCCTCCTGCTGGCCCATTCTTCCTTCTCTCAATTACACCTCTCTTCCTTGCTTGCTCCTCAGGTCCTGATTTTAGTTGCTTTCTTATTGAAGAGAAGCAGCTTAAGGGCTCATCTTAACTCGCAGTGTGCAGGTACGGCCCCTCACGCCAGGAAAGGCAGGTGGCAGGAGTGTGAGGCAGCCAGTCACGTGACGTCGCAGTCAGGAAGCACAGAGAGATGAACCTGGTGTTCAGCTCGCGGTTCCTTTTGTACTCAGTGCAGGACCCCCGCCTGTAGGATGGAACTGACCACATTTGGGGTAGGTCTTCCCAGCTCAGTTGACCTAATCCCAGCGGGTTTTCAGAATGATTCTAGTCCATTTGACCATCAATATGAACCACCATGGTCCCCCTCCACTTCATTCCTGCCTTTATATAGCAATTCCATTCTGACCTCAGGGAACATTCCAGACCTCCTGCCCCAGCACAGACCCCTAAGAACACGTTTTATGCTTCAGTGTTGTCCCAGGCACTGTAGCCAGCACCTCCCTCCCACCCACCATCTTACAACGTGCTGGACTCTGTGCACACCAGAAGCTTAAGTTGCTGCACAAGTGTGACTTCAGAAATGCAAATGGACAGAGTGGATATGTCCCCAAGGTCCCTCATAGGAAGACTGCCTCCCTCTGTAGACGGTAGAGAGCAGAAGGGTGATGGAAGCTGCCGCTCCCTCTGGATCCTCCTCCTGTCTGCAATCTAGAATGTGCAGTTGGCCCAGCTCAGCTGGTGTTTGAAAATGTCCTCATGGGTCTCAGTGGGAGCCTGCATGCTTCCTGTCGATTACATGCTTTCATTCCCAAAGCAAACAGAGGGAAATGAGATGGGTTTTCAACCAAGATCTTTTACTCTCTGGGAACAGAAGGAGCCCCCTGGGTTGTGAAGCCTTGTGGACATGGGGGCCTTGGGACAAGACAGTGAGGTCTTTGAATATAGGATACTAAGGTAGTTTGAATGTAATTGGACCCCAAAATCTCATAGGAAGTGGCACTATTAGGAAGTTTGGCCTTGTTGGAGTAGGTGTGGTCTAGGTGGAGGGAGACTAACACTATTGAGCTGGGCTTTGGGGTCTCATATATGCTCAAGATACCACCCGATGTCTCTGTCTACTTCCTGTTGCCCACATATTAACTTGTAGCAGCTTCTTCTCCAGCAGCACGTCTGCCCGCACCTGCACACCACCATGCTCCCCACCACGATGATAATGGAGTAAACCACTGAAACTGTAAGCCAGCACCTCAGTTAATACTCTCCTTTCTAAGAGTTGCCATGGTCATGGTATCTCTTCATGATAGCAGACACCCTAACTAAGACAGAAGCCACTTGAGTGTCATTAAGATGGGGTCTAACACCAAGATCTTGGTGTTGGGTTTTTGTTTGGCTGTTGTTGACCTTTCTGACAGAGTCTCAGGCATCCCAGCTGGTCTTGAACCTTTTATGTAGCTGAGGATGACCTTGAACTCTTGATCCTCCTACCTCTACCTCCTGAGTGCTGAGATTACAGTATAGTCCATCATGCCCACTGCTGGAGCTCAAACCTAGGGCCTTATGATGTAAGACAAGCACTGTACCAAGGATCCTGCTAAAAGCCAGTGCTGGAGCCAGGGCTCTGTTAGCCACAGGACAAGTTACACCAAGGATTGTGTGCCTGGAGGGCCCACCCCATATCTGCCGGCTCAATCCTCTGAGAAAACAGGTTCCCAGGTAACCCAGCCTGAGATTAAGTGGCAATAACTTGAGGATATGGTGTTTCTTTCTGTGAGTTTATTTACAAGTTAGATAGCTAGGGTATCTGGGGATCACTGAGTAAGGTGCTTTAAGATGGTTTGTCACACAGCCAACACTAACCAATACATGACAGCCAAGAGAGAGAAGGGAAAACCCGCCACTCACCTCCACTCACTTTACAGGGTAGCATCATTTTAAATCGCAGCTGTATAAAGTTCACAGCTGTATAATATGCTCATTCACGGAAGATCTTTACCCAGCTATATTCCCATCGCTCGGCAATATTTAGCTTTTGAATAAAATATTATTCAAGGAAAATTCCACTGCTAATGGAAGCAGAAAGATCGCCACTATTGACGGTTCATTTCCTGGATGCCTAACCCTTGGGGGGAAGGAACTGATGTAGGCTAGAGACAGCATGGCCAGGAACTCACAGAAACAGCCCCTGCTGCGTCTGCCCCTGCACCTAAAGAAAGTGGAAGGTCACTGCCACCAAAGCCTGCATCAGAAGACCCCAGACAACAGGAGATGAGTGACCCTCCTGGAAGTCCCTGAAACACACAGAGGACACCTCACCCCCTTCCCACCACCCACCTGCATTTGCTTCACACACGCAATCGTCACTTCACTGCCAGTTGGCTCTGTCACTACATGCCTGCTCCCCAGAGGAATGGCATGATGGTATACAGTAGGCACTTGGTCATTTTGTTTTCTTGAGACGCGGTTTCTCTGTGTATCCCTGGCTGTCCTGGAACTCACTCTGTAGACCAGGCTGGCCTTGAACTCACGGAGATTCACCTACCTCTGCTGATTAAAGGCATGTCACCATCCCTGGCAATACTTTTTAATAAAGGAAGGAAAAATGGAAGGAATCGGATGAGAGAGGGAAAGAGAAGACGAAAGGAGGAAGAGTAGAAAGGAGGGAAGGGAAGCAAACTCTCTCTCAGCCTTCAGCACTTGGAAGCCTGTATGAGCTTTGAGACCCTGTGGACATGGCCCTGCTATGTCCTATTTATAGTTTTGTTTTTGTTTTTAATTGTTTTAGAGGCTGGGAAGCGACTCGGCAGTGAAGATCACTGGCTTCTCTTGCAGAGGACTGAGGTTCAGTTTCCAGCAACCACGTGGCGACTCGACTCACAACCACCCATAACTCTAGTTTCAGGGGACCCAGTGCCCTCCTCTGACCTCCACGTTTCTACATACACATGGTGCACAGACAGGCAATAAATAAATAAATACAAAGTTAGCATACAAAGTAGTGGGCTTTACTATGGAGTTTTCACGCACACATGTGATTATACTCAATCTCTTTACCCTCTTTCCCTGCCCCCCTCCTCACCCCTCCTCCCTCCTGCTACCCTCTCCTCCCAAATAGCCCTCCCTTCTGCTATCATGTCATGTGTCCTCCATCACCCTTCCTTCCTCCCCTGCCCATCCCAGAATATTCTTCCTCCCTCTCATGGTTCCCTTTCCACCTCATGACACACATGCACACACACTTCAGTCCACATACAGCATCTGTCCCTTTAAGACATCATTAATCTGACAGCAACTCAGTCCCAGTCCCTGACACATCTGAATAACACAGCCATCCATGGTTTTATAAAAAGCAAAGTTTGCCTGACCATGGTCCCATAGGCCAACCACAGAGATCACTAAGAGCCCAAATTCTCCCATAGGGCATATGGGGAAAGTAAGACTCAGAGCAGAGGGTCACACGGGTAGGTGTTATCAGGGTCCACCCATTCCCTGGAGGACTGAGGGTAACATTATTTGGATCAAACCCAACATTCAAGCCTGTTTTCTTCCCACCACAACTGCCAATGGGAAGACAAGGTGGTGATTCACACCTCCATTTGATTGCTGGTGCCTTACTGTTTACATGTGAAGGCTCCTCTACCCACTGATATGGAAGGGCAAATTGTCAAACCCATTTTACAGACAGGATAGTCTGGGGACCCAGAAATGGTGGAGACCTTGATACATAAGGCCAGAGTGATGATGAGTCTTAGCATTCCATCATTCTAGGATGACAATGACATCCTATAGTGTCTGAATGTATTTGTCACTGAGATGGAACTGCCTGGCAGCCCCTTTTTGTTGGGTCCGACGTCCAATTTGTCATGCACAGTTAGTACATGAATCTAATTCAAAACACAAATGCGGTGAGCAAAACCAGACACTGGGAGCTGATGACACAGCTCACGGCAGTCCAGTCAGGGTGACCTCCAGAAAGAGACAGCCGGGAGGCATGGCCTAGACAGCCTGCCAGCACTGCCCCAGTCGCTAAAACTTTGATTCAGAACAGCACCAACCAGTGTTATGGTCCTAGAAAAACTTTGCAGGAGCAGACACAGACAGGACTGTTGCCCAAAGTCCCAAACACTAAAACACTACCCAGAATCTCGACTGGGAGCTCACCTCAGGAACACATTCCATCTTTCTACCAAGACAGAATTTCCTTTTGAAATTTTTTATTTCCTTCCTGGAAATATACACAGTGTGTGTGGGGGGGGGGGTATGGGTGTATGGGTGTGTGTTTGTGGGGGTGTGGGGAGTGTGCATGTGTGGATGTGGGTGGGTAGGTGTTTGGGGAGCAGGTGGGGTGTGTGTTTGTGTGGAGGGTGTGGGTGTGCATGTGTGTGGGTATGGATGTGCATGTATGTGTGTGTAGGTGTATGTGTGTATGGTGTGTGTGTGTGCGTGTGTGTGGGTGTGTGTGTGTGGGTGGGTGTGTAAACTTGGCTCATTCCTTTCTTTACCAGCTCATCACACTGATCAGAGAAAGCATCAAAATTCAACTCATAGAAAAATGAAAATGGAGTGGAATACTTACTGTTCCTTGTCACTGCAGGCATGCCAAGCAAGAGAGAAAGAGAAAACAAGAGAGGTTAACTGGGAATTCTCAGGACCACAAGGTGGCAGTTAAGAGTGTGTACTTGCTCTCAAAGGGGACCTGAGTTCAGTTCCCAGCATCTCTGTCATCCAGCTCCAGAAGTTTTGCCCTCTTCTGGCCTCTGTGGGTACTGCACTCACACATGCACATACATTCAGAGACACAAGCATATATACATAATTAAAATAAAATAAATCTTTAAAAAAATTCATTACCATGCCCACATTGTTCAGATGTAATATCACAGTTTTTGTTTTTGTGGTGTGTGTGGTGTGTGTGGTGTGTGTGGTGTGTGTGGTGTGTGTGTGTGCGCACACATGCACATCTTTCATTTGTTTGCTTTGAGGCCTTAACTTCACAGCAATCTTCCTCCATCAGCTTCCCAAATGCTGGCATTACAGAGCTGTTCCTCTGTCCATTGGATTTATTTAGTGTCACATCTAAACCATGGCTGCCTCTGGTTAGAGCTAGAAAATCCTGCCTGTAAGTAGAGGCCCATTAAGTCAATTAATAAACCACAGTGATAAGCCCTCCTTTCCTCTCCTCTTGATTCCCTTTGCTGAGATAGAGGGCTGTGTGGCCCAGGCTGGCCTTGACTACATAGAATACAGCCAAGGATGCCGTGAGCCCCTGATCTTCCTGCCTCTACCTACTCAAAGCTGGGATCACAGTGTCCATACACCATGTTTATACAGCCCTGAGGATTGAACCAGGGCCTGATAGACAAGCACTGCCTACTGAGCCATCCCTGGCCCCCGTTTATATGTCTGAATAACATTTACATGTGACATGAAGGAGTTCATTCAGTGAAAGTCTGATTTTCCCCATCGTGGGCTGTGCTGTTTCAGACAGTGGGAGATCCTGTTCAGGATACATGTGGAGTGCAAGCCCTGCTACTTCAGGAAGGAGATGAGATTTTCCCACCACAGGCAGGTACTTCAGTTTCCACTTCGCATCCCTGGCACTGCCTGCTGGCAGCATCTCTCTGAACATCCTCACTCTGCTCCCACATGGACAGGAAAGATGCATACATTCTTTTCCACCCTGCAATGGTGCCTGCAGAGATGATTCCCAGTTTCCAGGAGGCTGAGCTAGAAGGTTTCTGAAAATTATAAAAGCAGGCAGTCTCTTTGGTTAGACAGCAGCTGATGAAGATTCTAGTCTTCATCGCCCAGAGGAAAATGTGAACATCATGTTCCTCCCATGTCAAGCTGCGGTACCAGGCTTGACAGCGTGCGTGATAGCTGCAGTTCGGCCATCATTTAATGTCTGAAGGGAGTCGAGCAGCAAGCAAGGCAGCGTGTGTGTTCAGAGTGCCAAAATGCATCATGGGAGCACAGGAGTGGTTAATGAAGCTGCATCTAGACCGTTAGAATAATTCTAATTTAATTGCCAGGCAAATTGTTTGGCTTCCTATCAACGAAAGTAAATTCTGATGGATAGGATTTTAATTAACTCATGTTTCTTAAATATTGTACCTTGTCCACCCTCTGGGCAACTGTTTACCTCGCAGAGACACACTTTTTCATGGGTAGAATATTATCTACAAAGTAAGTTTGTCCAAGATGACACTGAAGAAAATGCTTGAGGTGTCCTGCTGAGAGGAGCACCCACTTTTCTGTGGTGTCTTCCAGAGGGTACAAATCAGGGAACAGGGGAAGTCTGTAGGTAGACCCAGGGAACAGATGAAGGACTTTAAATTTTTTATTATTATTTCAATTTTAGATGTCGAGGTGTGTTGTCTGCACTTATGTCTGTGTACCACACACGTGTCTGGTGCACAAGGCAGCCAGATGAGACACCAGACCCCGTGGAACTAGAGTTAAAGATGATCGTGAGTCATCATTTGGGTGCTGGGATTCAAACCCAGGTCCCAGATGGAGAAGTTTTGTTTTGGAACATATGGGTGGGTCAAAAAAAAAAAACTCTTCCCCAGCTTTTAACTAGGCCCTAGACAAATTAATTAAGGCAAATTTTTAGGTAAGATCTCATGTAGCCTAGCTGGCTCCAAACTCTGTAGGTAGCTGAAGATGAATTGAATTTATAATCCTCCTGCCTCCACCTCCCAAGTTATGGGATTATAGGTAATGCAAAGTATTTCTCAAAGCCTTATGCATGGTGGGCTGTGAGCCATATCCCCCAAGCCATACTTTCAATTGCTGCTCAAGGATTGTTAGATAGGAAGGGATTTTTCTTCAACTCTTTAATTCAAAACAGACAAAACAGGTTTCAACAAAACATAAAATGGTTTCCCACCTGAAGAGTTTGTTATGAAAAAGAAACCCTAAGTCACAGACAGTGGGAAATTATAAAATTCTGTAACAAAGGAACTTAACTTGAATAACAAATTTAATGACAAGAAAATAATGGACCTGCTCTTAAAAACACACAAAGATGGGGCTGGAGAGACAGCCCCACAATTAGGAGCACAGGATGCTCAAGAACAGGGGACCAGGTTTCAGTTCCCAGAATCCAAATGGCGACTCATAACCATCTATAACTCCATTTCCAGGGGGCTCTTATGCCCTTTTCTGGAATCCATGAGTATGCACATGTGTGTATGCACCCACCACACACTTACACAGACACATGCAGGTCAGTCAGCACTAGAGAATGAGACCTTGTCTAACAACAAGAATAATGATAACAATTAATTTATATTGATGATAATGATGTCACTGAGGGGACAATGTAAATGAAGACTGTACTCTGGTTTCCTGATTGCCCCAATCCAAATAATCACACAAACTATATTAATTACAACACTGCTTGCCGGTGGCTCAGGCATATTTTTAGCTAGCTCTTACATCTTAAATTAACCTGTTTCCATTATTTTATATTTTGCCACAAGGCTCATGGTTTGTTACCTTTTGCTTTTTGGGTAGCTACATGGCATCTCTCAGACTCTGCCTTCTTTCACCCTGGATTCAGTTTAGTTTTCCTGCATAGCTCTATTCTGCTCTGCCATAGACCAAAGAAGCTTCTTTATTAACTAATGGTAATAAAACATATACAGCATACTAAAAGGAATCCCACATCAGGCAGCATATTTGGACAGACAAGGACTTTAGGTGATGGTGTGAGCAGATGCTTAGCAATGTTCTCAGTCATCATGACTGACTAGAATGACATCACAACATTCAGAGCGGGAATATGACAAGACATCCCTCTATATAGTGCTCATAGTACTCAGGAGTAATAAATCAATAGCAGGGAGTATCGACCTGTGATTAGGTTATTTAAATGTAATTAATTTCAAGTACTCATCACCTTGTGTGCAATAAAGTGTGATTGTAAATTTATATCAATTAATTTTCAGTTATGGCCATGGTCAGTAGGTATCTTGCAAAGATTCTGACATTTTCATGTTGATTGTGAAGAAGACCTGTGGGTGACTGGTATACCACTGAGTCAAAAGTGGTCATTCATGAGTGACATTACCACGTGGTCAAAGACATGAAAGGCACAATCAAAGCTCATCAAAGAGTGCTATGGGAATTTATTCAGCCAATAGCCTTTGAAATACCAGCCCATCAGGGCATGGTCTGAGGTACTGTAACACAGATAAGAAGCATGCTTTCCCTCTTTCTTCTTGGTTGGTGGTCAAAGTTTGGTTCACAACCCCACGCCCACAGAGCAGGGAATGCAGTGACTTTCTATTGTGAATGATCCCCAATAAACATTTGTTATCTTTTATTGTGGGCTCTTGTAGACCTCCTTTAATTACACAACATTATGGCGCCCAATGTGGGGCTCAAACCGATAACCCTGGGATTAAGAGTCCCATGCGCTACTGACTGAGTTAGCTGGGCTGACTAGCTAGAAAGAGCATAAATGTCCAGTCTTCTTGCCATTGTTCTTCCCTCAGTGAAAAATGTATACCAAAGCTCTGGGAATATCACAATTCCAGTCTTTCCAGCATGTGTAAAATCAATGTGAACAGTCATGCAGGCTGTCATGCAGGATTTTCTGAAGCACTGAGTCTTTGTCATAAATGCCCCAAGCAGCTTCTAGTGCTGAGTCAAGTAAACAAGTCTCTGGAAGTCCAGTTCCAAAGAGCATGCGGTGTCCAAATATGTAGCCCACTCCAAGAACCAGTTTACATTCATAACACATCTATAACATCAGCACTTAAGGCACTGAGGTAGGAGAAGTGTGAGTCCAAAGCCAACCTGGGCTACATAGTGAGTTCCTGTCTTAAAACAAAATAAAAACAAAAGAAACACAACTAATAAACAAAAACTGATCAAAGAGTAGGAAACTTAGAGAACTAGAAAAAGACTAAAAATAATGAAAAGAAATGACCATAAATAAAATAACATAAAATTCTTAAAATATAATAGAGTGGCTTAATGAAAATGCAGTGTGCCCTAAGATACCTCAGGCTGTCCTCTCTAAAATACCTCAGGCTGTCCTCTCTAAAATACCTCAGGTTATCCTCTCTAAAATACCTCAGGCTATCCTCTCTAAAATACCTCAGGCTGTCCTCTCTAAAATACCTCAGGCTGTCCTCTCTAAAATACCTCAGGTTATCCTCTCTAAAATACCTCAGGCTGTCCTCTCTAAAATACCTTCAGGCTGTCCTCTCTGGGAGGCTCAGACAGAGCAAGGCCTATTTACATTGTTTCATTTAATTATCTCTTTTTGCTAGATTCTCCCTCTACATACAAACTGTTTCTTTTCATTATCTCTTTTTGATACAATCTAGAGTAGGTATCCCCACAGTGTTTCTTTTAGCTGCCTGTTTTTACAGGAGCCTGTACTGTACTGGTTACAGATGTAACATTTCTTTTGAAAACTGTTTCTTTCACTGGCCCACTTTCCCTACAGTGGGAAACCACACCCAGTGCTGGAAATCTGGCAAATTACTCAGTGCTAGTGAAATTATAGTAATTGAAAGAAACTCTCCAGCCACTAATTTACTAACCCAGTATAACCCAGAACAACACTCTGTAAACGTTTGTCTTGTACCCACAGGTAAGTGCAGTCTTCACCCTTCATCAAAGTTTCATCTTGTAACAGACATAAAGCACTACAGAAAACCTTTCCACATTCTTTGGGCCAGCAATAGTCATCACTAAACAGCCCCATCCTCCACCCCCATGACACATATTCTTGTGATTAAAATAATCATGTTCCCAACTAGGAACTTCAACCTTATGATGTCTTAAAATTCTGTCCAACAGAGCCACCACACTGAGGCATAGAGGACAGAGAGGCCATCTCTAACCCATGCCCATGGGGCTGGGTGAGTAACACAGATACCCAAAGTAGGCTTCCTATTAGATACACAATAGGAAATAGTGGGGGTATGGAAAATTGAGAAGCTTCTACCATAAAACCCACCATGGGGCTGGGAAGCTAGGGAGCTAGATCTGCACTGAGAGACCCTGCTCCAATCAATAGAGCTGGGAATGATAGAGGGAGATTTCCAGTGTCAACTTTGTTCCTCACAAGCAGGCATATACATGTGTGCCCATATACATACATATATATACACGTACATGTATATATATATATAGCACACTCATACACACATGCACATACAACACACACACACACACACACACACACCTAGCCCAGGGAAGGAAACTCACACCTCTTTTCCTTCTTTCTGATATAGACACTAAGGAATGCCCAGCTCAAATGAGCTACTTTCAGGGTCACCACAGACTTACTTTGACTGAAGCGGGCCATCACCAGGATGCATCCATCGGTTCACCACAGTATCAGTCATGGCGGAAGACTGGCACACCTGGAAAACCCAAGATGGTTATCTAATCATCTGGCCATTCTTAGCTCATGAGTCCCTACTCTATGCCACACATGTGGGGACACAGAAAAGGGAGGGAGCTTGACCCAGTTGTTCCATTGTCCAGGAGCAGAACCTTGTACCCCTAAGGGGAAGTGACCCCTGGGAGACACAGCTACCTAGTGACGAGAGATGGGACAGCATGTTTTCCGTTTATTATTAACACAGGTCTCCACTGTAGTGCTGTTGGGGACACAGTTGTGGACTTTTAAGGAGGTGTTGATGTCACTGAGAACTTGTCCTTGAAGGAGAATGAGGGACCTTGGTTCTGTATTCTCTCTGTGTCTTGGCTGTGGTGTGAGTGGTTTGCACATACATTGCCAGCCATGACAAAGGGCACAGATATGGGGTCACACAGTCTTTGATTTGAGCCTCCAGACTCATGAAATCAACCTTTCTCCATCTCACACACAGCCTATGGTTGGCTTCTTGTCATAGTGGCTTACGCCTTTCTATATCTGCCCTGCCCAGGATCAGTTTACCCTTTACACATCAGTCTGGGAGAACCCAAAAAACTTATCACAGTTTGTTAAACATCTCCACAGTCAGACACAGGGAGCCCACTGGCCCAATGATCCCACCTCTAAGCGTCTCCTGGGAGGAGTGAAAACTCCCTTCACTATAGGAACCTGACATCCATAACAGCGGAGTGGAGGTGACCCCAAGTCACCACACCATGGGCAAGCGTTTGAAATCAGGAAAGAATGACCAGATATGCTTGCTTATTGTGGGGGGCCCTTGAGGGCAGTGCCTGAAAGAAGGAAGCCAGAAAACAGTCTCTGCTCAAATGCCTCCTCTTCTAAGAAGACACCTTTCCTGGCCATTCTAAGCCCCTCCCAGGCCCGTTCTTCCTCATCCTACAGCTAGGCATGGCATGTGATTTGTCTTCTTGCTAGCTGTATTTGTCTCTCCACCTAGTCCGTGGGTTCCAGACTCAGGGCTGCATTTGTTCAACTGCAGCTCCTCAGTGAACAAGGGACCAGTGCATGGATCTGGGAGCCAAGCAGCTGTACGGACTGTGCATGGAAGAGGATCCCACACCCTCACACGAACCTCTGCAGGTAACTCATACCACTAAGCTCAAATCCCTGTGCTCACTTCCTGGGATTCTTCGTAAGTTCTGCATGAGAGATGCAGAAATGTTTATTTTGCAATCAGCCCTACATGCGATATATAGTTAGTGCTCAATAAGTGGCCATATAGATTATAAAGGTTGGTGAGTACATAGATACATGAAATATTAGAGCCAGTCTGCTGTCATAGTGTTGTGGATCCCAGGGCCATCCCGCATCTTGGACTGCCACAAAAGCTACTGTCCAAATCCCAGAAAGACCCATTATAGAATCCCTCCCCTTCGCACCTTGTCCCTACTTCTCCCTGTCAGCATCCCAGAATCTTCTTGGTCTTCTGCTGCTTAAAGATAAATGGGAAAAAAAAAACCACAGCTCACTTAAGAGCCCTAGCAGTGTCTGAAGTGACCTGGTGGGGCTGAACTGGGCTGGCAGGGGCCTCATGTAGTGCTTTGGAGAGCTGCAGGGGTCTGTGTCACCTGTGAATGTGGGGGGTGGATTCAAAACTCTAGCCAGCCTCTGTGTCCCACAGCCCTGCACTAAATCATGGGAGACCTGAACCCAACATCTTAGATGGCATCTGGACACTTCTGATTCCATCTCTACCCTCTTCTGCCTCTGGCTCATCGCTGCCCATTCGGGCTCATGCAGACCTGTTCAGATTACTGGAGAGTGAAGATGAGGCCAACCAGGGATGCAAAGCACAGAGGGAACTCGCATGAACAAATAATATCCCAGTCAGACATATACTATGCTTGGCCCACATGTATTTTAAGTAAAATTACGCCAAAAGTAAGGCAGTATTAAGACTGGGAGCTTCTCCAAAAAAAACTGAAATAAAAACAAAACAAAACAAATAAAACATAAACAAACAAATGCAACTCATGGAGGGCTGGGGACGGCTCAGCCAGTAACATGCTTGCCTCAAAAGCACAAGGGTCTGTGTTTGACCCACAGGACCCAGGTAGCAAAGCTGGGCTTGGTGGCAAGAGCCTGAAACTCAGCTCTGAAAAGGCAGAGCCAGGGGGACTCAAAGCCACTGGCCAGACAGATGATCTAGTTTATTTGGAAAGTTCTGGATCCCAGCGAGAGACCTTGTCTCTAAAAACAAGATGGATGGCTCCCAAGGTTGTCCTCTGGCCTATACACATCTCCCTCTCCCTTTCCCTACCTCTCTCCTTCTCCCCTCCTCCTCCCCTTTCTACTCCGAGAACACCCACTATCGCTAAGTATCTACCACTGGTCTAGGCCTAGAGATACAGCATTAAAACACAAACTAGAGATAGAAGTGAGGGTCCGCACAGAGCTTGACCTCAGGTGGGGAAGACAGAAAACACAAGCCAAGTGTGAAGCGTGCCAGCTACTGATACATGGAAGAAGGCAGGTGGGAGGAAATGAGGCTGTCAGGAAGGTGTTGCTGAGCCACGATGTTTGACCTGGAGCAGGGGACTGATCTATGTGGACAATTGGGGCAGAGCATCTCAGACAGATGAAAGGTGAACTTCAAAGGCTCTGGAGTGGGCAAACACGTGGGAAGCTAGAGAAACAGCAGGGAAGCTGGAGCGGAGTGAGCGAAGTGTGGGTATCCGAGAAGCAGTGTCTACCCACAGATGATTGGCTATGAAGCTTCCCATGACCAATGGAGTGGCAGCATGTCTATTCAATCAGGAGTTCGAAGATGCAAATGCTCTAGAGATGGCTTCTTGCTGTATATGAGGAGCCCAGGCTAGCCCACTGGAAGAGTTACTCCCCGAGTCAAGTGAGCCAAATCTGGCCTAGACCAGAGGATCTGGCTTGATGGCATCCCTAGAGACCTGAGGCACAGACAGACTGATAGAAGTTGCTGGCCTAGACAGACAGACTGATAGAAGTTGCTGGCCTAGACAGACAGACTGATAGAAGTTGCTGGCCTAGACAGACAGACTGATAGAAGTTGCTGGCCTAGACAGACAGACTGATAGAAGTTGCTGGCCTAGGCTCAACTCCCACATGCAACCCTCGATCCTTCTCTGAGTGACTCTGGCAAGCTAACCCACTCCAGGGCGCTCACCTCCCAGGCACTGAGTGACTGTCCTTGAAGGGCTTGTCTGCCGACTTGCCCTTCCAGGCTCCAACCAGGCAGCACTCTGTCAGTGTTCCTGGTGCACCTGGGAGAGGTGCAACAGACACCTGGGATGCACCATGTGTGTGTGTGCATGTGTGTGTATGTATGTGTGTGTGCATGTGCATGTGTGTGTGTGCACACGCATGTGTGTGACTGTGCGTGTGTGTGCATGTGTGTGTGCGTGTGTGTCTTGTGTGTGTGCATGTGTGTGTGCGCGCGCATGTGTGTGTGTCTGTGCATTGTGTGTGTGCGTGTGTGTGTCAGTGAGTACGCACACGTGTGTGTACCTATGCATGTGTGTGCGTGTGTGTGTGTGTGTGTGTGTGTGTGTGTGTATGTAGGTCAGCTGGCATTTCTCGGGAGCTGTCCACTGGTTCTCAGTTCAGCTAGGCTGGCTGGCTAGCAAACCCCAGAGATCTGCCTGCCACCCTCTCTCCATTGTTGGGGTTAAGGCAAGCACCACCATGCCTATCATTCTACGTGGGTTCTGGGGATTGAACTCAGGTCCTCATGCTTGTGTGGCAAACACTTTACCAACTGAGCCATCTTTCCAGTCCATATACATCTCCAATTTAGTATTGAGGGGAGGATAAAAGCACCCCAACTTTCCTTCCAGATGGTTCTTTCTCAGTATTCACCATTGAGGCTCAGGTGTGGTTCACCTAGTTCTGTCCTTATGATGGGCCTATGACCCACTTCTGGTCAGTCAGTGGTTGGTCTGCTGTGACTGGCTTACAGATGAGCATATGACCTGATCTGGACCAATGAAAGCTTTGACGGAATTCTATAGATGATTTTCTTTCTGCCTCCAGTGCTGAGCTGGTAGGGACAGAATCCACCTCGCAGGGAAAGCCTACTACAGGGGGATGGAGAAACGCTGCTGCCTCACGGTACACAGGTGGTGGGGGTGCTGGATCCCACCATGCCTAAACCCATATTTGTTATTTTGGTTATAATAAGCCAATGAAGTCAAATTTGAATTGAAGTTTTGCCACTGTAACATTCCTGCATTTGTATCCTTGGGGTCCCATGTCAGCTTGGAACAAGCAGGGATTCCAAAGGCAATCAGAGCTGGTGGGACCTGAAAAATTAACACCAGTCCCCACTGGAACCACAGTAGGTCCTCTGACTGGCCACTAGGCTCTGCCATCGGATGCATCCTCCCCAGAGGGACCCTGCACTGGCAATTAAAACTCAGCGACAATAAAGAACACTAATTAAAAGCAAAACTAAGTACTTAATAAGACAAATGAAGTAACGTTATTAAAACTGGGGATGAACAAGCTGGCATTAATTAAAACTAAAGACAAATGTCTTCCCCCTTTAAAAACCGTGTGTGTGTGTGTGTGTGTGTGTGTGTGTGTGTGTGTGCACTCCTAGAAAAAGTTTAAATTGTGCTGACACACTAGATGATGGGGGCAGACATGCTAGGACCAATGAGTGAGGCCTGAGGGTGGTGGGAGGTCTCCCCAAAAAGGAAGAGCAGGGTGTGGGAGGGGAGGGACTGAGTGAACGAAGACCCAGAGCCACAAGGGATGGGGATGTTGGGCAATTGGAGGTTTGGTGAATATGGATCCTGGATGGGAAGAATGCAGTACTGAAGGCTGGTCTGCCTTTTCTGAGTAACCTTGGGCACAGTCCTTTCATCGTATGCCCCTATTTCCTCACATAAAGGCTAGGAACAAAAGTAGGACCCATCTCAACATGGAACCACGAGAGTTAAATGAGATAATACACGTGAGATCAAGACCAGGCATCCAATAGTCCCT